ACCACACAAGGTCAATTTTTAATATCATTTATGGGCGTGAAAATATAAAAATAGTATACCATAATGATTTAAGAGGAATACGATCTCAAAATGCTGTTCGGAAGGGATTAACGAAACATCTAAATACTTTGAGTTAAACAAAATTAAGACTTCTTAAAATGGCAAAAAAAAATCTCAGATTAGAGAATTTCTAAAAAGATCACTAGCTAATGATATATTTTGTATTTACTGTATGTTTGGTTTTGATACGGAAGTCGACACACATTTGACTGACATGTATATATTAAGGAATATTTCTAAATGACTATTTTATTTCTTTGTCTACTTTCATTATATAGTTTATGTTACATGTATTATATGTAATATAGTATAGTAAAAAATAGTTTAAAGATTCTTGCCAAAGACAGGGTACCAGACTCGACAAGCACTTGTGCTAACTTCTGGTTCCCCCTTTAACAACAAAAGTGTACACATAATCTTTTATTCCATTTGTATACGACATACTTTGTAAAACAATGTTTGTATTATTCATGTGTAATGCAATCGATCTTGTGTTATATTGTTATATTTTATGTAATCATGCTTGATACATCATGTTTTACTTGTTATTATTTTTGTTGTTAATAAACTCAAACTCAAACTCAAACATAAAACAATTTCGATACTGATTCCTGCAGCCTTTTCATTTGGCAAAACATTAGTCCAGATTTGCCAGTTTCCACCCATGTTTAATAGGTAGCTGATATGACCGAGGAATACATATTTGGCGGCTCATTTTTTTAACAGGGTAATAGGTAATAATGTTATCATATCATTATGTTATCCCAGTACCTGACTGGAATTTGAGAATAGAATGTAATTAGTAATAATGTCCTGGCTGGAATGTAAAATGCAAACAGTTAAGATACATGTATAAGACATAAATACATCTCCTGTTTACGTTGCCATATAACATGATTTTGCCGAGCAATTTATTGTAAAATGAGTAAATGTGATGATATTGCTGGTATATTACTCATTCTTTTTCAGATAAACTACACAAAGTGATGGATCTCATCTTTTTGTGTCACATTTACATAAAGTAAGCAGACTTGAATATGAATAGATGCAGCTTTAAAGTTGTCTGAATTATGTATGTTTATTTGAAGGGATATTGATTGATTGATTTTATTTCATTTTATATAACAATTGTTTGCACAATAAAGAACATAGTTGACAAAGTAAGATCAAAATTATGAAATGAAATGAGAACCTACTGGAAAGCATAGCTAGTTTTTGTAGTTTCCCAAGAATAAACATAATATGAACATTATTTTCATAAATCATTTAAAGTGACATATTGTAGTGACAGCAAAATTCATCATGATATATTTATGTGTAAATTTGAAATAAACATATAACATCCACATATCTGCTATCTAATCTATTGTGTTTTTCGTCCAGAGTTCTATCATGACAATTAATGTTCATTTCCACCAAGGGGATTACAGTAAAAATATTAAGACGTTTATTTTGATTATACACAATGGAATGTGTATGGAATTCACATTTTTACTGCTATCATCACAAAGAAGATGATGATGATGGTGAAAGTGATGATGATGATAGTGACATAACCCTGCGTTGCTCTGTTTGTATTTTGAAGTTAGGGGTGGAATGACAAGAAATAGACTGAAATTCTATTTGTCGGTTGTAATTGGTTAGTATTGTTCACTTGATCGAGACCTGATTAAAAAAATTATTTGCATGCTTCCCTAATTTATATACTTTCCTGTTCTGTACCCAAGCACCCCCAATTCGCCAATGCGCAAGTTACGTATAATATGCCAGAAAACAATGATAAAATGCCATCCCATTACCGGACTGCTAGTGTGGCCACCTGTCAACAATTATCTATTGATACCTGAAGTGCCTTTTGTTAGTAATCGCACAATACAAGTATTCAAAATATATTTTAAAAATGTCTTTGAAATAATGTATATTGTTGTGGTGGTTTGATTCACCATTTGAGAATTAAACCCATCTTCCATTTTTCTTCCCCCCCCCCACCCTCACTCTTCAAACAGAATTCATCCATGGTTCTAAGTTCATGTCAGATGGTATCTGCACAGCTTGATTTAGTGCATCTATTCCCTTATAGATGGTCTCTAACCGGTTCAAAATAATATCATTACATTATATTTGACTGTTCTTATATAGTTGTTGATATTCATCGGACCGCATTCATCACCGATTTCCCTCTAGATATTGGTATGTTGTAGCTGAGAGTATGTTCTCTTAACATATTTTTTCTAAATAGATTGAATGATTAGAGCATACTGAAATTTTCATTGAATGTGAAAGTCATAAGCCGCTATGTGGCAAAACACGCACGCCTGTAAAAACTCTATGGCCAATTCCTTTTTTTAAATTCACACTTAATATATTTCTTGCCGGATAATTTCCAAACTTTATATTGAGTGTCCCATAAAAGATATCTTCCTGATACTTTATTTTCATGCCCAGACCTTATGTGGTTAACTGAGCAATATTGCAATCTAAATTGTGTGTAGACGGCATATGGGTAAATGAATTAATTTGAAAACTGATAAAAAAAGAAGTTTTGTTCTGCTTTTGGTCTTTATATTATATCTAACGCACCATACTAAAGTGCGTCCCCGAAAAAAACGAAACCAATGTGATTTTATCTTTGAAATTCAGATATCGTACGCCAAATGACATTTTGGTTCCCCTATCTTTTAATTGTTTTTAATCACTCATGCGTGAAATATGCATCATATGAATTGCAAATATGTGTCATTAATTAATTATAATTGTGATTAAGTTATGATAAAACATCGTTAATTCTCAGTTACGTTTTTTTCTGGGACGCACTGTATCTTTCTTATATAATAGTCTTATTCAAAGACTACCGTTGTTTTTTATCAAGAATTTTATGCTCAGAAGTTGGTGTACAAAACTACAAAACCCATGGGAATTTTTTTCTTCTATCGAGTTCAAATCACAGATACTGCATTATGAAATTGTTCCGTTTATGTGATGCTAGTTTTCCTTCCCAGAAATTCGTTTTTTATCGAAATATCGAGTCTGTATTTTTTTTAAACAAAATCTATAGAAAAATTCTGTGATTCAAATATGCCGCCGAGTGAAATACAGCTCCTTTTCCTGTGATAAATTGTCGATCGTGTGTCAGATGCAGTCTGGCGATCGTTGCTGCAGATCACCTAATTTGTCAGCAGCGACGAAATCCAGTCTAGATGGTAACAGTACTTAATTGCTAGAACTAGTTACAGAGTTTACATCACAGAACAAAACCCCAACACAAATAGTCAATGAATTAGCCATGGCCACATAGTAAATATGTATCAAACTGCATCTTTATTCTTAAAAAAAAATCAACATCAAACTTCTTATGCTAATAAAGACATCTGAATTTCATATACTTAAACATCATGTACTGATAGATTTAATGAGCTTTTTTTCTGCTGATAGAACTACTAGATTGCTTTATAGTTTTCGAGTACTACAGTATGGTACTACAGTTAGGTCCCTCGGAGAGGACCTAAAGCCGTCGACCGTCTGCTTGCTTACTAACAAGCATTTATGCGTCCTTAGTAGCCAGGTAAATAACCACAACAACAATGTAATGCATGCGATATGTGACAAAATTTGACTGCATGTGGCAGTCCATGTTTGTTCCAATTTTGGTGACATACCAAAACTGTCTTATTGTAAAATACTTAGCCAAAGATTTAAACTGCATACCAAATATGGCTAAATATTTTATCTTAGCTGATAACTGAATAAAATACCCTCATTTTGTACATATAAGCATTGAATTGAATATTACAGCGATTCTTTAGCCTCAGTATACTTAAATTGGGAGGGGATCCATGCCATTGGAAAGGGAGGGGCACAGATCAGAAGAAAAAAAAATGAATTGCCACTTTTTTTTTTTTTTTTTTTTTTTTTTGGGGGGGGGGGGGGGAGGAGTTGTTAGGCTTTAAAAAAAGGGATATAAGCCAGTTGTGCCCCTTTTCCTCCTGCCCATTAGTCTGTCAGTGACTGGAATGCCTCGGCATCAAAGTGTGATGTACACCAGTATAACAAGTACATGTACATGCAGGGGCGGCGGAGCGACTTCCAAAGTGGGGGGGGGGGGGGGGGGGGCAACAACAAAAAAGGCCACTTTCTGGAGAAAAAAAAAGGGCACCCACAAAGGGAAATCTCAAAGCGAAAAATATACATTTTTGTTTGCATTGGTATATTCCCCTACATTGTGATTACATTTTCAGGGATGATTTCAATATTTGTTTCTCTTTAAGACCTATACATCAAATCAGATATTGCTTAAGCATCATACCTTGCAGTTGGGTGTGATGGTCTGAATATTCTTTTGCGAGATAGCGAAGCAAGCGAGGAAAACATTTTAAGATTTGTGATGTCGCAGTGCGAAAAATTACATCTTATAAAGAGGAAAAACCCAAATCCTGATAGGGTTATAACACATTATCATAACGGAAGACTGAAAAGACCTTTGATAAGTAACATGATTATATCAAGTATAAATGCGGGCGAGCGGTGAAAATTGGGGCAGTATATATGCGAGCGAGAGGTGAAAATGGGGACACTTCTTACATCTGAAAAGAGGCACTAACGGGAGGTTAAAAGAGACAATTATTACAAGAGGATATGTCCCTTATTGGAAAGGAAAGAGGCACGTATCATTGTTAAAAGGGAAATTATCAGAGGTGAAAAGGGGCACTTCTCGCATCTGAAAAAGGGCACTGACCAGATTATGAAAGGGGCACTTAGGAGAATGAAAATGAGGCACTTATAATAACGGACAATGTGCATTTGTTGAAAGAAAAGGGGCCCCGATCAGATTTTATTAAGGGCATTTATCAGAGGCCGGTGAAAGGGGACTTTTATGAGAAGAGGGAAAGTGGCTCTAATTAAAAAGAAAAAGAGGCACATGTTAACAAAAACGAGGCATTTATCATGAAAAGAGAATTCGTTAGAAAGGAAAAGGTGCACGTTCCAATGAGGGGCATTTATTAGACTTGAAAAGGGGCACTCATCAGAGATGAAAAGCGCACTTATAAGGATGGGAAGGGGCATTTTTCTAAGTAAACGAGCATCTCTCAGATTTGAATAGGGGCAATTATCGAGGTTGAAGGGGGCACTTATCTGAAGTGAAAAAAGGAACACTTTTCATAGGTGAAAAGGAGCATTTTTGGGAAGGAGAAGGGGCTCTTTTGTGTTAAATGGGGGCACTTATTAGAAAGGAAAAAGGTCACATGTTAAAAAGATGGTGCGCTTATCCAAGTTAAAAGGGGTAGCTGATAAAAGGGAAAGGGGCACATCTTATAAAGGAAAAGGGGCATTTGTCAGATTGGAATAGGGTAATTATCAGAGGTGAACGGGGGCACTTCTAAAACATGAAAAAGTGTACTTGCTAGAGATTAAAAGAGGTACTTATGATAATGGAATATGCACACTTATTGCAAAGGAAAATGGGAATTTGTCGAAGGAAAAGATCGAGGCACGTGTCAAACAAGGGGGCACTTATCAGAGGTGAAAAGGGGAAGGGGCACTTTTAAAAAGTAATAGGGGCACTAGTCAAAGTAAAAGGGGCACTTTAGGGGTACTTGAAAAAGTTTTTTTTGGGGGGCACTGTGCCTTCCAGTTTGGTTACGTATAAATGAATCACAACTGCATGCAATAAAGGTCCTACATATTCACTAAGCTCTGTGTTGAAGATACAAAAATATGAACTTATGTTCTTTTTTTTTTAAATGTCGAGGTTGACCATCTAATAACAGACTGAGGACTTACTACACAAAACAAGTATATAATCTATCAACTAATGTTTACAAATATGAATGAGTAAAGTCATAATGGCATGATTTAGTTATAATATGTCCATTTACATAGAACAGCTACTCTTTTTACATGAATATACTCTACTCCGCTTATCACATTGACACTCTGGCTATAGCTGAGCCACCAGGATAAGTTGGTAAAGCATTTAACGATGTTTTCCCCTACTGGGTACCCTTTTACATCACCTAGGTGAAAAGTGGCAAATGTAGATAAATGTCTTGCCAAGGACACAGTGCCAAGGTGGGACTCGAACAATGAACTATGTAACAGTGTTCAATATCCGATGACATATCCACTAGAACACGACACCTCTATATAAAGCTACATTAACAAAAAGAAAAGAAAAAAGAAGCAAGCTCATGATGTACTCTTTCCTTTCATTGATGACTTAAATCTCGTTGGAACAAGCGGTTTCAATTCCCATTTCGTTTTCAAATTGTTCCAGTTTATCAAATACAGCTGCATTTCTAGGCCTTCTTGTCTGTAGCCATACTTCCAGCTTAGAAGTTGGGCCATACACGTATCGGAAGCTATACACATAAAGAAAAAGGTAGAAAGTAAAAATAGAATCAATTATACACATTTATCATACAATCCAAACAGATCCATTTTGGGAATGTTTAGAGTGCCAATACCTAGTCGCCCAATCAAAGGCATGAATGAGCCTACTAAAAAACTACTAAATATGCCATCCATGATTCACGTTATTCAACCTTATCTTTTCCTTCTTATGAATGACATCAGATGTGGAATGTGTACTCTCACCCGACTCTTAATGTAGATGTGTTACTTGGAATTCGGTATTGGGTTCTGCACAGTTGGCAAGTTGATCATGAGATGGGGCTTTGCAGTAAACAGTATGCTAGGGCAGCAAGTTCATCAGTTCAGCTTTGTTTTAATTTATGCTACATTTACCTCAGACGATTCAACCAAGTTATAAATAAATGACATCTACCCCACCGGAAATAAACCCTATTTATATGAGGGATAATATAAGTGCATACATAAATATATGCACCAAATAAATCGACAGGATACTCGCCAACTCCCCTTAGGAAAAAAGAAGGATGTAATCAGAGTGTTGTTATTAATTTTGTGAACACAATAACTTCCCGTTTGAAATATTTCTTTTAGAAGTCTAGATAACACACACAGAAAACAGGACAGATGTAATAGCTCATCTGTTTTTGGAGCCAGAAGCGCGTTACCTCATATACTTTAATACACACTTAATGCCCTTCTGGCCTTGAACAGATGATCAGGTTTTTATTATTTTTTTATAAAATAGAAATATCAAAGAATTAGGATTATAAGCCACTGATTGATTGTAATGGTGGGCTTTACTTGCGTGTGTAATGCTAGGACACAATATAAATGTGCATTAACTTATAATATTGGATAATCATAGTACACACGCACTATACTGTGCTATTTGATTAAAACAAAAATCCTTATATATATATATATATATATATAAACATTTTAATGGGTCCCTTCTCCTTTGAAATATAACTTTAAACGTTCCTAAAACAAAATGTGGTATATAACAAAGGAAAAATGCCTGCATTGAGGGGCAAGAGTAAGACTTTATGTAAATCTATCGCCCTTCAATGATTTTTTTTAGTGTACCTCGACTTCAGTTTAATAGGGCACCGTACAGTTTTGAGATCTCCTTGGGATGACAGTGTTAACCAGCCCCTTAACCCTATTTGACTGGGCTTTCTGAGAGCAAGTTTTTTTTTTTTTTTTTTTTTTGGGGGGGGGGGGGGGGGGGGGGTAATCTCGGTCAATTTCATGAAATTTAAGATCAAGAAAAAAGGCGTACAATACGCAATTGGCAGTTTAGGAAAAGTGGTATTAGTGGTATTTAGTACACAAACATTGGCAAAATGTCAGCATCGGCTCAAATTTGGCCTGACGTGTGATTTCAGAATGTTGCATGACCTCGCAATTGATTATGTGATATTTGAAAAAATTAGTCTAAAAAATTGCGGGACACTACACAGAAGAAAGCAAGATTAAGGTAAGTTAAGATCTGCAGCAGTTGCGGGGCAACTCATTGATTTTGAACGGGGGGGGGGGGGTCAAAATTATCAACACCCCCTCAGTCAAAATAGAAATAAAACAGTCAATATTTTTACATGTTTATTATATTCTACGTCATACATGTACCTTTCCTCTCCTTGTTCAGTGGTGTACTTGAGTGACTTCTGGCCAACAAGCAAAAAGGTTCCACCAATATTACGACCCTTGACCTTAGGACAGTCACAATCTTCGTTGATGAACAATTGTCTCTGTGCCTGATGGGGGACATCTTCATCTCCTATTTCATCAAGGTATAGCAATAAATAAGTAAAACAAAGAAGAAAACTAGGAGTTAATTGGGAGGGGAACACAAAGACCTAGAGTGGAATGACACTACAAATGTGTACTAGGATGTTAAAAAACAAGAGATGTGTGGAAAAAAGTTGCAATAAACCTCCGAACTGGGAGAAGATACTTTGATAGGCTCAGGCTAGTTTTCATATTCTTTGTATATAAAGTACGCACAAATGTATGACCTTGGGTGTACGCAGCTTCGTGTGAAAGTGCTTGTACTTTATTTCACCCCCACCAGCCTATCATTATCATGTCCTGCATGATGTGTGATTAAAACATTGCTATCAAAGCCATAGTTTACAAGAAGCACCACCGACAATTTTCTCTAGCACCACCTCAGGTAAGCTGTTGCAGTGTTTCATTTCATTCATTTGTTGCTGCAGATCCCATCTAGTAGGTGATTGAGCATTTGCTTGTGCAGCCCTAAAACTCTGGAATAACTAAGCATTCGAAGTCAGGATATTACCATCTGTGAATTTCTTTAAATCAAAACTGAAAGCACATTTTTTTAATTAACTGTAAATGTAAGCATACAAGGAGCTCTTGTAGCACAGTAGATTATATACTTAATATGGGATAGTTTCGATGCTCTATAAATGTATTATTATTAGTATTATTATATCATCTATTTTCATATTTCTCATGTTACATATACATTTCATAATAAAGCACAATTATTTTTGTGTTGAAATTAATATAAATGATGCATAATAACTAATATAAAGATATTTAAAGTGGTCAATATAGAGTACTCATTTAACTTGAGGAGTATGATGGCATCTACATGAAAGCTAGTTTGTTAAGCTATAGGCCCCTGTGAAATAAATTGTGGTAATGAATGGAGGACGGATATGAAAAGTGACCAATCGAAATAAATTAACAAAAAAAAAAATTCTAACGGGAGGCGGCATTCCAGTAACTCGGTCCTGTAAAAATAACCGTTGTGCGGGGCAAAAACAGTTCGAGTACGTAGAATGTGATGCGTATGGTCCCGTAACTCACTGCTTCCCTAGCTGCGCTGTTGGCTCTTGCATCAGTTCAGTATTGCTTAACTGAATTGGAACTCACCTGTTTTTATCGGGTTTAAGACGGTAAATCTGTAGATCCTGAAGCCTTCTTGTATTTCCTCCGTGTCAATCCGGATCTTGAGTGCTGAAAGACGAGTCATGGTAAACAAATCTAAAAACATTGCCATGTTTTGATGTACATGAACAGTGCATGTACACATGTAACTTGACAAAAGATAAGGGCACATACAAATGCATTAGGAACTCAAATGCGGTGAATTGAGAATTTGAGCCTAATAAAGGTCATATCGATATTTCTGCCACTCCACGTGTTAATGATGTGCCTCTGCTAATTCGCCATAGAATTATGATTGTATATATTTAAATTCTTGAACATTTGTCAATCTGTTGGTCAATTGAATCTGGTGTCGCCGAAGCCACTGGCCCGTCTCTGTGTTCTAGTTAAGGCTTTTAAGCCAGTGACCTGGGTTTGATTCCCATATGCAGCAGAGACAATTTGTTTTACCTTTGCAAAAAATTCCAAAAGGGAGGACAGCAATATATATATTTATATATAGATAAGTTATGTAAGAATGTATGTATATTTGGAAAATGCCATTGAATGTAACACGTTCTTCAATTGAGTAACCAACTATTCAACACAATCAACACCAACAACAACAAAAATCGAAATATCAGTTATAATGAGCAAAAAAAGCATGGTGATTTTTATGTATGAATTGCACTTTATTTCACTCATGAACAATATGTGTAGTTTGATATCTTTATGATTGTTAGTATTTACCATAACTACTGTGGCTTGCACATGCAGCTCTTTCTAGCTCAAATATTGAATATGGCCCAGGACATGGATCAATGTTGCAGTAGTCTGTAAGAAAATAAAAACGAAATATGTGATTTTTTTTAGTCATCTTCATGTACGTGTACATGTAAGTGTCATGTAGGAAGTATACATTCAACCATCTAGGCCTATCACAATTTGAATATGTACAAAATTATTACTAAGAACAGGTCTTAATATTCAATGATATCCTTTATGTGGCAGGTGAAGAAAACAAAATTATTTGACACTTCTGAACAAGAATACAATGTACTTCAGCTCGGTTTCAAATTAAAAATTGAAGAGAGTAGCATTTATATATTTCAGTTTTTAATTTGTTGTTTTGTTAATGCAGCCATGAACGTTTATTAGAAACCATTTTTGTCTTCCATATTTTTTTCCTCACAATTAATAGTCATAAAGCTACTTGTACGTGTATCAGTCAATAATCCACCTACTAATAAAAGAATATTAACTGGACATTTAATACTTTCCTAAGGATCCACCAGTGCAGATGCATTCACTTTCAGAGCAGAGCGTTGACAAGAGGGCACTGCCTGGACCAGGTTTGTAGGATATCGTGCAAGATTTGTCTGCATACAAGTAGAAGAGTTTTGATATGTGAACATTTTTGGCAGATAATGAACAAAATGATAACATGATATAATGATAACAAATATAAATGTAGAACAGAATAAATGCAAATATGTGAGACACTGTATATATTCAGTACAAAAAAGCAGGCACTCTTTTTTGTTCGAAACTTTCATATAAATCGTCTATAAAATACAATACAAAAATATTTCAAATTAAAGAATATTTAATCTTCCACCAACATAACTGAAATCAGATATTGAAGATTGATGGGCACATTTCATTAAAGTGAATCGGTAGCATTGTTAAAGGTTAATGAAAAAACTGCGTAATTTTGCATTCAACATGCAATAAATCCTTTGAAAATGCTCAGACCACAAAGATACTTATGGTTTACTTTGAAGGCCTCACTGTGCGACACCATGTAACAGTAAATTCTCCCAACCAATTATTGAATTTCCCTAACCGTTTTCCCATAAAAAAAGATCTTTCAACACTTAAATGTTAAAATGAGCCAATTCATTGCTTTGTGACGACTTACATTCATCTTAAATTTAATTAAATTATAATAATATAGTTGGGAGAATTAAGGATTGATCAGATCAGTTTTTCAATTTTCTATTATTAATAATAATCTGTTCTCACTCAAACTTTCAGATTATCTTTAATTGTACATCTAGTATTGAAGTAAATATCTTAAGCTATGGTCACAACTCAGAGCATCGACCGACTGATAAGTATAGCCTGCTAGGTCGCCGTTGGAATTTAGGCATCGTCCAACGATTTTTTTGAGAAGTCGAGCAGGCTGTAGAGGCCCAGCGATGCTGGGCAGTGCCCTGTCGATTTATCGTCGGTCGCCGGTCGATTTTAGGTAAAAACTGGGCGAAATCGGGGAGCTTCTCCGGGCGGCGTCCTGGCAGTGACCGACTGATGACCCACCGATTCCCAAGCGGTCTCCCACCGGCCATCGGCTGATTAAAAGAAATTGCCCGGTGGGCGGCGGCCGGCGGTGATCGGCAGGGCACCAAAATACGCTCGGTGCCCGCCTGGGCACCGATCTAATCGAACGTTCGCCGTCGAGCGATCTGGGTCAAAAATCGAAGCTGCTAGGGTCAAAGGATGCCGACCGATTTTGAACTCGCCGCCCAGTGACCGACTGATCTCCCAGCGGGGACCGCTTATTCAGCGGCTGGCTGGGTCGTTGCGAAATTTTTGGGACCCTCCCCCCCCCCCAACAAAAAATATGTCCTCTTACCCCCCTCCCCCCCCCCCCCCGCTTATTCAGCGGCTGGCTGAGTCGTTGCGAAATTTTCGGCTTGATTTTCAAATGTTAACCCCCCCCCCCTTCGAAAAAAAATCCTGCGTACGCGCCTGGGTACAACAGATGCAACATGCACAATTTGTGATACTGCTTACATTGTAGAAACATTATTCTACCATAAAAGCAAGATCTCTCATTTTCCACATATTTAATACATTTCAAATTTTTTATCTATTTTTACATTCCTGTTTAAATTTGTAACAATTTCTTATTTTCTCCTACATAATTATACTCTACAATCTACAATAATCAGTTTCATAACTTCTGTCGTATTCCAATTTATTTTTGGACCTGCAATAACACTGAATATGTCAATTCCTTTAATGTTTTTATTTTGTCTCATTTTATATGCACATATTGCCACTACTATCTTAAAAGTAATGCCGATCAAGGGCCACCCTGGAGAACTCCTCTTTCAATAATAAACTTTTTTGAAATCACATGACCAATGGCGTCAGTATAAAAGTCTTTATTCAGGTGATAAAAGGTTCTTTAAAATTGAAAAACGTAACACATGAAATAGGAAAAAATGGGGTACACTCCAATTTTTTTTTCCAAAAACAATAATCTCTGAACTTTTGAACTGAACTAAATAATCAATCACACCTTGTAATAGCAATATGTTTGCTGCTGCGGATCTTTTCTTTATGAAACCTTTTTGATCAGTTGAAATGATCCGTGATAAAACACGGTGAAGTCTTTTAAAAAGAACTTTTCCCGCAATTTTATCATCAGTATTAAATAACGAAATAGGTCTCCAATTGTCTTGATAACCCCTATAAGGGAGTTTACAGATAGCACATGGTACAAATGAACCCCAATATCCACAGATCTTTTACACATGGAGAAGTTCCCCTTCGAGCATATTAGAATAATAACTGCCAAAGTCCTAGATGTGCTTCATGAATACCTTTTGTTTGCCCTCTGGAAAAGAATACTTCCACCTGCGTATCATAGAACGTACCGTTGGTGCATAAATGAATAATGTTACATAACTTTCATGAGCGCATATCCAGTATTCATCTCTGTGGGTTTACCTTTTTGGTACAAATGACCTTTATCTGCCCATGCGCAGATTGTATCTTTAAACTCCCTTATTCCCCTCAAATAACAATGTAATTAGACCTTGCCTTTGGTGAGATCTATGGATTTCCTGTAAAACATTTTCGTCATCCTTTATAATTTTTCCATTCACATATAAACTTTCTAATTCTATATTCTGCCCAATGCGCTTTTACAACTGTACAAATATTTGCTTGTCCTCTCACCCTTTTTTGATCCGTTCTTTCAACCGCCCCTTTCATACATTTATGAAATGTTAAAGAGTTCCAAATCCTGATGGCTTAACTCTTGGATATCAGGTTATGTACTTTCCAGCATTGATTCTAGTACTAGTTCTGTAAACGGGTTGGATACTCCAATTCGTGTGTAATGCACTTTTGCTAGAATCGTTGATGAGAGCAGGGAATGGTGGTGCATCCGGGTTACGTAAGAAATCTTCCCCGTCTGATTGGGCATACCTGACGGCTAGCAAGGGTTGCTCGATCGTGGCAATGCATAGGGGACATTTGTTTACGAGAAGGTGTTTTAAGCCATGGTTAAACCCTTCTCTGGCTATGCCATTGGATTTCACATATTGCGATTTTATTTTTTATTTATTTATTTATTTATTTATTTCTGATCTTTTGACAGGGTAGCCCATTCACCAACAAGTAGTGGTCTTCCATGGGGCCCTGAATGAACATATTTACATCGTTTATAACATTTATACAGAACAGTTACAAAAATAATACTCGTTTGCAAAATAAACATATATCATTAACCTAGTAAACAGTAATGTCAATGGGAAAATATTAATTAAGTCGCAATTATGTGAATAGGTCATGTAAATATTACAAAACATGCACGTAGTGTATGTACGGCTGAGCCATTCACAAATTACAACTTTGTTTAAACAATCTCTTAAATGAATTGACAGAGGAAGCCGTTCTCAATGAATTATCTAGCTTATTCCATTCAAATATGGAAGAAACAATTGGGCTACACTTATAACAATCAGTGTGAAATCTAGGCACACGTAAACATCCACTGTCTATTTGCCTTGTATGATGCTCATGTACATCATTAGGATTGATTAAGCCTACCTGAAGGTAAGAAGGTGCTAAGTTATGAACGCATTTATATATCATCATAACGCGACTTAACTCAAACCGCTTGTCTAGTGTCATCCATTTAAGACTCGTGAACAAATCAGCCGACGGTGTGCCATATGTCTTGTTCAATATTATTCTTGCGGCCCTTTTTTGAATTTTTTGCAGCTTAGTTGTATGAGAATGAAATCGGTTCGACCATACAACAGAGCAGTAATCTAATCGTGGCAACACTAGACTGTTATAAAGTAACTTTTTTTTAATGGTTTATGTATGGGGTGTAGGTTACATTTAATCACATGATTTCCAATTTTCCAGCTTAGATTCCAGCACTATAGTTCTGTAATTGGGTTGGATACTCAAATGTGTGTAATGCAATTATAATATTGGCGTGAAATCATGTACCGCCATGGTAAAATGATACATGTAGAAATGACAGAATCCAAAGCCACGAAAAATGCATAATTTGAACGGTTTGTCGTTTCCTCGTTTATCAGCGGTGAATAAGTGTATAATATTTATCTAGTTTCTTCTGTGCTTCAACCATCCTACCAATAATATATTCATTTGGATCTCTAACTAACTGTTCACTAGAAGGTAATATATTCCTGTTTAAGTTTATTAAAATCATTTTTTTTAACATTTCTTTTTATAGTATAACATCGTAAATTCAGTTATCTTACTTGTTTAATCATATTACTTACACCAGTCGCATACTCTGCATCCACTAAAATATTATCATTCATCTTCATTACCTTTTCTCCCACTTTACAATTTTAATATCAATGTTAAAGATATAGCATTATGGTCGCACATTAATGCCAACCGGATGTCCGTAGATTGAACTAAATGGCATACCTTCTTTGACATTAACCAATAATCTAACCTAAAAAATAAAGAGAGAAACACCTGCCTCCATGTAAATTGTTTCTTGTCTGGATATAAATGTCACCAAATATCTACTTAATTGTGATGTTTTTAAACTTCTAAAAATAAAACTTCGGAACATTAGCAGAACAGATACCACGTGTATCCATTTGTTTATATTGAACTAAATCCCAGTCCCCCGTGCAATCAAAATATCCTTATCTTCTTTATTTTATCCAACCAATTTAAAAGCATCTTGTATTTTTTTTAACAAGTAGTCATAACTCTCCCGTAATTTTTTAATAAAAGTACGTATTATATCAATTTTGGGGTCTGTTAATTGAAATTGCGACACCCTTCGAATGATTGGCACTAATGTCCTTTGGCAAGGCATTTATCTTCATTTGCCACCATCGACCCCGGTGAGGTAAATGGGTACCTGGTAGGAATTAATTCCTTGAAATGCTGGAGCGCTGCAATGGCAGCTAGGCTAAAACCGGTGTAATAATTACTGCGCCTCGGATAGAATTTTTAGATAGACGGCGCTATAGGAATGCCTATAATTATTTATTATTTTGTATTAAACATGTACATTTCTAGGTCGTGAGACCAAAAAGTTTCTTGCCATAAAATAATATTGCAGTTGTGATGTTTAGGCCAC